TCCTCTTTCTTCATCTTGCGCGCGGCAAGCGGCGCGTGACACATTTTACAATTTCCCATTTCTATTCCGATCCTCTCCGCGAGAGATGACAGCGTCGTAACTTACCTTCCGGCGAGAATTTCCACGGAAAGCGCGAAAGTTTACGCTCGTCGCTCTCATTATGCGCGCTTTATTGTGTGCGCTCGTTTTATGTGTAACCGATCGTTGAATGATCGTTAGAGAAGTGTGTGTCGCGCTTTACACGAAAATCTCATCGAATTTGTATCCGTTATTCTCGTTTCGCACACAGAGCGATGGGGGAACGATCACGTTTCGGACATCAGATGTACAATATTTAACGCAAACTTTTTTGTAATACAATTTATATATATTTTATCAATATTAAGTATTTATTTATCAATACGAGCCAATGCCGAAGATATATATGTGCAAGTATATATATTTATTTTCTTCTTTTACAAACGTGTAAGTTAATACACACGGAGACTTGAATTGAATGTAAAATTCGAAAATTTATATAAATTTATAACAAGAGCGTAGTTTAAGAGACGATATTTAACATTTATGTAAAAGAGCGTAGTATCTTTTCGGATATAAAGAGTGTCTGACATCATCGTCTCGACGTACATATATACTTCCTAGAGAATATTTGGCCCGATACGCGGTTGAACTCGGAAAGCACGAACGGATATATGTTCGGACAGTGTGTGTGTTATCTTCCGACGAGTTTTGTAATAGTTATAAGATTTTTTCTCCCTCTATCGCACATATATATATACATCCGCGTCTGAACTGACAGCACCATTCTTCGGAATCTAGGGTAAAAGACCCAATTACCGTCACCTGTCTAATTACTGTCACCCAAAGCTATTTGATTTAAAATATTAAATAAATCCTAAAAATTTACGCATGAAAACAATCTAACATAGAATTTTAAGCGCAATTAATAATAACAAAAATCCAGCACTCGACATTCGCGTCTCGTTTCTTTCATTTTAGGGGTGACAGTAATAGGTCTCGCATCGTTCTTTTTTAATTATTACATTTATAATTAAAAGAGAGAGAGAGAGTGGAGATTTTGAGAGACGGTATTATTTTGTTCCTTATATTAGAGACGTCGAATAATATCAGATAAGAAGAAAAACACATGTTTTTGATAAATAAGTAGTAAAAACAATTCACTAACGCCAGAGTTTATTATTCAGGTGACAGTAATTGGGTCTTTTACCCTATACGTCGCTCACAATGGAGAGAATTACTAACGATCCTACGACGAACGATAATTCCTGGATTTCGACAGTGTGTTTTGTGCGAGGCGGTAACGTCTTGTTGCGCGATAATCGCGCGTAATGGCGCGAATTGACCGCGTCAATTAAAACAGGCACGAAGTCGGTTGTATCCTGAATTCTTCGCTCGCGCGATAAGACGCGGTCACGAAACTAAAGTCGAGAAAATTATTTGTCTCTTTCCGCAACGTCGTTTAACAAAAACTACAACCGCGTGAAGTTAAAAGACGATTTTTACAAACGACATTATTAAAAAAAAAAAAAAAAAAAAAATTACACAAAGAAACGATTTTTTTTTAATATGTACAGCGTATTTCTGTAAACGCAGCGTCGCGCAAAGTTCGCGCGGGTTCAACGAACGACGAGTTCCAGTGGTTTTCGTCACCGTTAGGTATTTGTTCTCTTGGAGTTTATGCAAAGGACGACGCGTAACGGTCGGAAAATTCGCGGAAAAAAAAAAAAAAAAAATATTAGGATGGGATTTCATCGGTATCGAACGCACTCCGGGAATATATTCAATTTTTCGGTCTGCCGCGTCGCATGATTGCCGCGCGTGTATACTTGAAGGGAGTATAAATTGCCTCGGAGAGAAGCGTCGCCGATACAACGTTATATAATCAAATACAAAACCACTTCCGCAAGATTTTCTAGTACGGTAAAAGAGTTGCGAGACGAGAAGAAGCTTGACGGCGAAAATTGGTCTCGAGACGTGAAAATATATTGTTTCTAAATTTTATCGAAGTAGACGAAGAAAGCCGATGAGGCTCGAAAGGAAAAAGTCAAGTTTCTCGGTGATGGATGAGACAAGACCGCGAGAATTAAATATATGTCAAAGAGTTGTTTAAATTTTATCCATTTAAAATCGGATCTTCTCTCTTTATCTCTTTCGTAAGGAATTATCCGAATTCCTCGGCCGATCTCTCGGGCGCGTTTCTGAAATTATTCGCGAACGTGGGACGAATTATGCGAACGTTTTAGCAAAAGCGGCGCGAATACCCGCGGGCAAGTTCCGGGCAACCTCTCTCTCTCTCTCTCTCTCTCTCTCTCTCTCTCTCTCTCTCTCTCTGTGTAGTCCTGCGATCGCTTATTATCCCGCTGGTACCGCACGAAGTTGGTCACGATGATCCTCTCGAACAGTCCTATATTATCTTGTCCGATTTTTCCTCGCTTTCCATCGCCGCGTTCTCGCCTCTAGACGCTATTATTCCGCGTCCGCCCGAAAGCAATTTCCTTCGTCGCTTTCTCCAATCGCTTCTGCGGCCTTCCCTTAGCTAGCCGCGCCGATGGTTAAAGGGTCGTTATAATCGAACGAAATTGCGCGGCATTTGAACGTAAAATCAATGTTCCAAAATAATGTCGTACAGATAGAAAGAAAATTAAAGTATTAATTAAAACAATTTGTATTATTTGTAAAATATTAATGTTGTCAAACAATTTATACATGTTTTGAAATTTTGATTGATTTAATTGCTTTTGAGAAACAGAATTAATTAGAAACCAGCGATAAAGAACACAACGGCTGTTTATCGAGATTTTAATTATTTATGAACAGAACGCTCTTCTCTATTAATGCAAAAAAAAAAAAAGTTCTGTAATCGCAAAGTTTTGTAATTCACGTTTGCTTGGTAATGAAGCGGAATGAACTCGAGTTTCGTCGGTGCACTTGGAAAAAGTCGTGTCTTGCATAATAATTAAAAGTTCGAGAGATTTACGCGCGAAGCGTAAAGCGTGGAATTCCGCTTGCCAGCTTTTAACGTTCGTTCGTTTGTTCACATTCGTTCGTTTCACCTCAAATATATTTTTGTAGTTGTTATTGCGATCTCTGTCTCATTTTAATGGACAAAAAATGTTTTTTTTTTATCTCTTTTTTATTTGATTAATATAACTAACAACAAACAAACTTTTGTTTATTTAGAAATATATATATATATATATATGATGGCAACTTTATTCGTTAGTTAACAAAATACAAGTTTTGACAAATATTTGCACACTTGGTAGAGAGATAGTACCAAGTGTATGATGACTTTGTATATTATATATATAAATTGTAATTACAACAACGCAAGTCTAACAACGCGGTCTGGCCGGAAGCCAGTTTGCGTAAACAACGAAGTCCTTAGAGTCCTTTGAGAATCGGGTCGCGTTTTGTCACGCGTGTACGTCACGGTCTCTCACACTCCAGTACCTCTCACGAAATCCAAACAACATCGTGAAGGAGAAGGTCATTCGGAAAAGCTCCCCGGTGTTGTTCCCGGAGTGTAGCCGAAAAGTCTGGCGCCGATGCGACGGCGGTCCAACGATGTGGTGCATCCCGTCCGGGGACACGAGTTTTCTTCAGTAGCCGTTCTTCTTCGACGCGCGGTGCACGTCGTCTCTTCTCTCGTACCTTCGTCGTCTCTCTCTCTCTCTCTCTCTCTGATCTCGTCTTTGTTAATTGTTCTCGAATCTGTCCCGCAACCGCAAGTAAATCTGTCTCGTACCGCGTAATCCGCAGCGAATCTGTTATTCCAACAACGCAATTTGCGTCTCTCTAACCGACTTTTATGCGTTTAACTCGGTGCATGAAAAACACAACGCGAATTTAAATGATTGTTTTAATAGCCGAACAAATATAAAACGCGCGCGCGCGCTTTTACGCTAAATAGAATCGATCGAGTAGAAAGATTTTTTACAGAGATAGATGTTGGAGAACAAAATATTTTGAAAACTATTAAAAAAAAAAACTACACGCTGACGTGTGTCTTCGGTATAAGATAAAAGCGACATCGCACATACACGAACAGTTTATTTCGCAGACCGCGACAAGTAAAACGAGTTCGCAAACGTTACGTTAAAAAGTTTCCTTGGTGTCAAAGAGAGAGGTCTTTTTTTTTTTTTTTTTCATCATTTTCACGTTGTGCGAGTACTAGCGTTCTGTCAACTGCGAGAGGGTAGAGAGTGGAAACTCATCGGGATGTTGAAGTTCCGAGTCTCATCCGGCCAACGGAAGTACGACGGCACGGTGAGAATCTTAAGCGTCTGCGACTTAAATCTCCACTCGACGTTGCGGAGATATTGCCGAAAGAAAGTTTATTTTCCTCGGGATTTACCTCGGGAGAGATTATACTCTTTCTAACTTAATTTTTAACTTAATTCTTTCAACTGCGTTACGGCAATTGCAATGACTGCGTGCGGAGGTAATTATGCAATGTAGTTGCAATGCGAATGTAGTTTTTCTTCTTGATTTTAAAAACGCTATTCTTTTTGCGATAGCGTAAGTGAAACGCGTTAACAAATAATTGTAATTAAAAAAAATGCGGGAAAACTTCATTTATGGTATTGGATATTTTATTTATAATATGTGATTTTTAAAATTTACGGTATATACATTTTTTATAAATAATATTTATGTATTTATTTGTTACTTTTCCGAAATATTCGCTTCTAAGCGAGAACGTGATTCATTTCTTTTCGATTCAATAATTTTTCGCTCTTTCGCCTGTGCAACTGCTTTCAGACAGCGTCGCGTGTCGACGTCTGAGAACGTTGCCTACCTCCAGGCGCATCGAAAAACTACAGTGATTCTCAACCTTCTCGTATCAATAAGTCGCTTCGAGGTTACAATTATTTCAGTATCATTGAACGTGCATTAATTTAGGTTGTAAAATTACATTTCTGAATTGACAAATGTTTGAATTATACTTACAAATGTGCTATCTGCTCGGATTGCAGGTAAATCCGGGAAGCAAGGCGGCTCAACAAGGCGTGAGAGAGGGTGATTTGATTAGTACCATCAACGGAAAAAGTACTCGGGATCTGACAAACAGCGAGGCGCACACTTTGCTGCGCACATCTGGAGAACAATTAAAACTCGGTCTGAATCAGTAAGTAATGAGATTCCTGTTGAATAAAAAACGAAGAAAAACATTTCGTTACATATTTGTTGCATTTCAAAACGACAACTTGTTTCTTTATTATTTGCATTCGCAGAGATAACATCGGCTCACCGAAAAGAAGAATCTACAAGAGCAGCTTGCAGGAAAATACCACCACCGAGATTCACAACAGTAAGTATTCGCTGAAAGCCGATCGATCGATTTTTACGTTTGTTGTACGAAAGCAACTCGTCATTCTTGTCATTTCGTATTGCCGCAGAGATCACCACAAAGACCACAACTACAACGCGCACACGAACGGAAGCGGAGAAAAACGTTGCCAGTAAGTTTGCCATTTCCTGTAAAATTTATTGACTCTTGTGTTATTCACAATTGGTGCGTAACTTTTTGACGTAGAAAAAAATTGAACAAAAAAAAAAAGTTAAATTGCGCGAAGCGCAATTATTTAGTATTTAGTATTGCGAAAGCGCATCAATAATTAACAATCGAGGGGAGGGGATCATCGCGGCAAAAAAACTTTTTCGACGAGTTGCGTTTCGAATAGCTTGTGATTAATTGCAAGCGACACGTTAAATTTATGAGAACATTCCAATTAATTGGCGCGCCCTGTTTGAGCCACGAGCTTAATTACCGCATTCAATATCGATTTCCGATCAATCGTGTGTGTAGTGGTAGCAAAAACAAGTTTACACGTAAGAGAACCGTTTTCTAAAATCAATTTTTATTAATGCGCTAAACTCTCGACGAACTTTGCGCTCCAAAACAAACGCCCGAACCACACTCCGCCGCCGGTAATCGAAACGCGCGGAGAGTTACACACCGGGAGTTGCTTTATACAGAGGGCACTCGCCCGATTTACGCGAATGTTCTTTGGCATATTATCGGAACTGCAAGACTACAAACAATTGCGCGTGTAAACATTTTCGATAATTCGCGACTAGCGTTTGTTCGCGCGACTTGCGTTTGATCGATCGATCGTCTGCATTAGTGTGTGTCGTGACGCACATTAGAGAACTCAGGAATCACTCACGCATGACTGCCGGTGTTTGGTTGGAGGACAATAATCCTGCCAGTTAACTGAGCGTACAATGCGCGTAGTTTAATTATCTCCGATGATCTCAATGGCGAACAATAGCTATGTGTTCCTTTATGCGCGACACCGCCGCAGAAACCGAAGTTAGCCTTGGCAACATTTCGGCCGAAGCCGATAGTAAATCAGAACAGGCTTTCCGTTACACCCTCTCCCGCCGCGCCGTTTATCAATATATCTGACCATTTAACGCGAAAACGAAAAACCTGTGCAATAATAAGAGACGGAGGGGAGAGAAAAAAAAAAAGACGAGCGATTTCAAGCAATCGAGAAGTTTCTCGCGATTCAACTCCGACGACGATGAAAGCAAGTTTTCTAATTAAAACTTATTCTGTTAATATCTGGTGTTAAAAGAAGATGAACTTATATTGACGATTGCATGAATATTGAGGAAGAAAAAGTTGTAAAAAAAAAACCCCGAGAGCTACCACTTGATCCTTAAAGTCTCACTTTAATTAATAGCGGCGTTAACACGTCGCCACTCTTTTTTTTTTTTTTTTTTTTTTTTTTTTTTTATAGGAGCTTTTAATACGACTCCACTGTGCAAGTTCGACCGTTACAAATTACAATAAATGTAATCGAGTTTAATCGAATTGTTGCAATTTCGATTGTGTACGCTATATCGTATATATCTTCAATTTTATTTACCAACGTCAAGCGATCGACCCGTACGACCCGATGTAGGAGATGTCAATCGCCGACAATTAACTCGCTACAATCTCCCGAATCTGTCCGAATACCGGGGTAATGACGATGCTTTAACAAGCATCACGTATATGACGTGTGCGGCGACTATGAATACGCCGAGAGGATCATCCCACTCTGTCCATCATTACCAGCACTTTTCTCCAAATTGCCCTCATCGTCGCGGTACGATGCACATGCAGACGAGAGACATACCCACGCTTTGCTTCGCTCTCTCGCTCAAACGCTCACGTGTGTGTGTGTGTGTGTTTGCACACAAATACACAACGACACACCTGTTTTTAGCCTGTACGTACACACTCTTACGTACACCTGCCACCACTACGACACGCGGCAAATAATATTCTCCGTTCGGACGCACCCTCCGTTCTCCAAGAACGGCCCTACGTCGTCGAGGAGACGACGACTGACTCTCTTCTTCTCTTCTTTCATTTCGACGAGAGGCCGCCGGCTGCGACCTACCTTCCCGTTCAGTATCGGGGAACACCTTGTCGAGCGCGCCGCACGTCGTGTAATCGAATTTCGAATCGCATCGGGCCGTTTGTTCCAAGGAGGATTCGACACTTGCGCGTTTAATCGCTGTGAAAACGTGAGAATTTCGAGTCAACGACCGACGACGACGACGACGACGACGACGACGACGACGACGACGACGATCGATCGATCGCAACGGCTTTTCGCCGTTCGGAAAAAAGCGAAAAAAAAAGTTGGAAAAATAAAAATTGGCTCGATCGTGTATTTAGCGAACAACGGTTTAAATCGTGATAACAACACGTTCGATTGAGCGTATGAAAGGTAAGGCTGATGAGTGTTTCGATCAGGAAATGCACGCGCACAAAGGAGGAGGAGGAGGAGGGATATGACCGATGTGCGATGTGAATGACGCGGCTATACGACAATGCGCGGTATTATCCGACGATACAATAGTTACGAATCGGTGTTTAATGAAACTGCTGTGCCGCCCGGTTGCGTAATGACGAAAGAAAGAGCGCGGCTACTGAATTTGCCGTGACAAATCGGGGGCGACGAAAGCAAATTTGTCGAGGCCGCGCGTTCGACAATTGGCGACAATTAAACTCGAACGAGGCTCGCAATCATGACGCCGTCGTACAAAGAAGCCGGAGAAAAAAATGGGAATTAAATTGAACTGAAAAAAACCAAAAAAAACTGCTCGAGGTTAATATTTTTTTTTTTCCCCCACGAGAAGATGAAATTCTTCGATTGCACTCAATGTTTGACGACGTTCAATCGGCGACGTTCGCGTCGTTGCGAGACGTCGGATCTTCTGGTGATGACGAAACGACCTTCCGCACGTCGTCATCAACGACATCATCATCGTCGCTTCGAATCCGCGCAAAAGATCGCGTCGTCGCGACGTCGCGACAGTCGATTTCTGAACGCGATGCGCAAGTTCGGCGCTTCGTGGAAACGGCGAAAAGCCGTGAGAACGAACATCACCACGAAGAACAAGCCAAAGAAGACGACACGTTTTTCGAAGAAATTATTCGTCGGGAACGACGAGAACGGCAGATCGGACCGCGTGAGAATCCCGGGGACGACGTCTAATGGAGTTCAGCCGAGGAAGCGGAAGATTCTTGATGCGAAAACGTCGAAAGGCAACGACACCGGACAGGAGGGAGTCGACGGAAGAAGGGTCGGCGAGCTCGAGCGTGAATATTACGAGCACCTGGAAGCGCTCAAGTTCCTCATCGACCCGCCGCCTTGCTTCCGCAATATGGAAACCCGGCAGAACTTTGAGAACAAGCTAAACAGCCTGGATATCAGACGGATGAACACCGTGGCGATTCCCGAAGGACCTGCCGATGGGACGACCAGATGCCAAGACTCGAAGAGTCCCAACGGGTTTCGCACGAGTTGCAACTTGGTCCGTGAAAACGGCGGCGTCTCGCATAACGATCACGAGAGGTTGCGCGCGGATACTTTGGAATGCCGCATTGTGGCGGAGCGTCTGAAGTTCGTCGAGCACACGACGGGCGATTTGTTCGCGAGGACGCCGATCCTGAAGAGTCGCCACGGCGAGCAATTTCCGATATCCGCGCCGCGCGAGAACAAAACCGTTCGCTTCAAAGACGAGGTTGAGCGTTCGGGAACATCTGTCGAACAAAGGAATGGGTTGAGATACGAGAGCGAGGATTGCAGGACGGAAACGAGGACGGAATCGAACAATCGCGTAAAGGAGATTACGCAGGACGATAGCTCGAAGACCGGGAGTCGAGATGGAACGTCGGGCGTTAGTTCGAACGCGTTCGATGTCGAAACAATGAAAGGTAGGAAAACGCGATCGGAGCTCGATCAAGCAGATTTATGCGATGTGTATTTAAACGGGTGGGTCCGAACACATAATAAATATTCATCAAGTTCTCTCGCTGAGATCGCGATTGAGATTCTTCTTACTTTTTACGGCATACGAGATTTCAATAATTTTATGTATAGGCGGAGAAAAATATAAACTTAAAAAAATTTAAAACGCGATAGCGTTTGTTTTTATATTACACAAGTGATTTTATTATCAAGATCAAAGAGTGTGAGATTATTGTGTAATAACTGAAGCGCCGTTCTCACGTTATCAGTCCAAAACTCAACGTTGACATTGAACAAGCGTACACGGCGCACACACGTTTCTTGTCTCTGAAACTTAATCGCGTCTAAGCACTTCTCTTACGACGCACGAAGTAGAAGCAATTAGTGACGCGTCATTACGTTCTCGCTTTTTGAGGGTCGTCTGATTCTTTAAATAGAGAACGTGTGCGCGGAGAGTCCACAAGAGAGTGTTGCGCCGATGCTATGCTGAAACCAAATGTTTTATTATATATACGCTTTATTTTTTATCGCAATGAAATTTGATTGAGGCAATTTTTTTTGCATTTTTGAAACAATGTAAAAATTTTAAATATAATTTTTTTAAATATTAAGTAATAGATTTTTTATTGCATATTAAACTTCGATCACACAAAAAGTAAATTGATGTTTTCAAAATTCTTTTGAAGCGAAAATCGAAATATACAATCGTTTGAATTTTATTGAAGTAACATCGCAATGCTGTTTCGCGAATTTTGAACAATTATGTTTTCTCAAAAAAAAAACCGACGCATTCGTCAAACTTAACGAGAGACTCTCGAAGAAAAACTATACAATTACCATACTAATTCCTTCGTGACGGAAGCTGTTGTGTGCTTGACATTTATATATGCCGATAATACAGCCGATGAAACAGTTCTCAATTTACGTCGCAAAGTCCCAGTAGCAGCCTCGCTCGAACAATACATCGCCGGAAGTAGCAATCTCCGTTTGTTGAGCGGGTTCGTTTGAACGGAAATTGTTCCTTTATCGCAAACCGCACGCCAGATATCTAAAAAGTATCTGTCGTGTGTGTGTGCGTATGCAAAAATTTTGTAAAATGTTACTTTGTCTCACTAATGTCAAATTATTTACACAAGATAGTGCAGGACGGTGTATATCGCGTATATAAATATACGTAAATATTTAAATGAAAAAAAGAAATTTGAAAAACGTGATAACATTTTCCGAGACACGTGCCGGTGGTTTTTTTTTTTCGACCAAAAACTATGGTCGAAACGTCATTTTTATTAACTATCAAATAAAGAAAATCATCATTATTACATTTATACACAATAAACAACTGTGTTTTTGACTCCAACTGCTTTGTCCACTTCTTGAAATTTTGAATATCTGGAGTCATCCGTTTTCTGAATTGTTTTTTTTTTTTTTTTTTTTTTTTTGATAAAAAATCTGCACTCAATCGGAGATACAAGAGCACACGGGTCTTAGATCCGTTGAAATTACGCGAAGCGTGACGGGTAATCGATTATGCAACGAACGCGGAGTCGTGTCGGGCAATAAAATATGTCACGCTGGCCGATTGCGCAAGCGATGAGCATCGGCGATCCGATCGAAGGAAATCCCTCCTAGCGCGGGGAGGGTTTGGCCGCGCTCGCGCCCGCTCGTACGAAGGAGAAGGACGTGAAGGGCGCAGGGCGGGGCAGGATACCGTGGAGGACGAAGATGGAAGACACGGATCGCGGAAACATGGGCTTGGCACCTTCAGGGCATGACGGGGCGCACCCATTGCGTATTAACGCGCCTGTGGCGAACGGGCATCGCTAAAAGCCGCACGCGATGTTTCTTCTCTATCAATTTTCTCTCCCCGAGTGAATTTGTTGTCGCGCAATTCCACCCTTCTCTCGAGTCTGATTTTTTCTTGTTTATTTCTCGACGATTATAAATTGTCTTGAAATAAAAAAGCGCCGCGCGTGTTACATTTGGGTTAATTGTTCCGGTCTTGTAAAAAGCAATCTTGAATTTGAGAAAATAAAATTTGTATTTTTCCTATAAAATATTCGACGCAACGTGTAATTTGCGATTCCGTTCTCGCGATGTCATCCCTTTCGTGTTTCAGCGCGTGAAACCAAATCTCGCGGTGTAAGCTCCCACGATCCCATTACGCAATTAACGTGATATACGTATACACATATATATATATATATATATTTTATTGCGACTGTCCGTTGCGTAACCGCAAGGTTACGCGTGTGACATATGTGGTTTTTTTTATACGACCGCTATCACGCACACGAGTTTCCATCTCCCTACTCCGTCCTAAAATTCCTAATTTCGTGGGTTAACACACACGTCTTTCCTTCGCCGAAACCAAATTAAGCGGGTCAACTCGCTCGAAACAACCAGTGTGTTCGAAAAAAAAAAACTCGTCGTCGCTTCCGGATCTCATGTAGTACGCACACGCACGTACGTTCGTGAAACAAATGTAACGCAATGAAAAGTGTGGAAAATAGATAGGTGCGCTCGCACGACTACAGTGGTACCTCCGATGGCATTGTGTGCTCGGAAGGAAGTTCAACTCGGAACCGGCGCTATTCATGAATTCAGAGGGGGATTCTAGACGGATACAAACACTCGCACACACACGCGCGCGCGCGCGCAAATGGATACACGTTTGTGTGCGCGCGCGCGCGCGCGTGTACGGAGAAGAGCATTAATGGAGTCTTACGCGCCAGTTGCTCACAATAATCGGTTTACATTGTTTGCGAATTCGAATTAAAGCGTTCCTTCGCATAGAATCGATTTCTTTTTCGAGACTCCGTCGTGAAGCTCCCAAGTATTTAACCGTTTCGCACAAAGCGTTACTTTTACATTCGAGCGTGGATCCTCCTCCGCAACGCGCAATGCGCGCGCTAATATACGCTACGCTTTTTTTTTTTTTTTTTACATCTCTGCGTCCCGCAACACACTGTCGCACGTTCTTCTCGCGAACACTTGTCTTCCAAAACATATAGCGCGTTTTCCCTTCACGCTATATTTCCCACAGAAACGAGCGCTAGCGCGACACTTCGCGCCAAAGTGTCTAAGTGCTGCGGATTCCCGCTCGAAATGGTGAACTCCCTCCTCTCTGGTGAGCATCAAACAATTTTTCGTTCGAATTCAGACGAGAGAGAAAGAGAGACGCGTCGTACAGAGAGACGCGTCGTACAGAGAGACGACACACGCACACACACACACACACACACACACACGTGCGCGCGCAAATTCATTCGAATCGAAACATGCGTGTGTCTTTCCCGAGCACATAGATATGTGCACAAAACACGTGACTCTCTGACCGCGGGTGGGGACCGCGAGCGCGTTTCGTGGGTGACGGGTGGGTTCGTGTTGCTCAGTGCATAATCGCAATTCACGTACCCTACACCAGGTCGTGGTTGTGCCACTGATTTGCTGGTGGTTGACGTTTAACATGGGCGGTGTCGTCGTCGTCGTCGTCGTCGTCGTCGTCGACGACGGAATTCTCGCCTAAATTTAACGCGCTCATTCGTGCCTCGTGCACGCGCGCATGTGTTTTCGGGATCTCCGTCATCGCGCTCTCTCGCATCGCTTCCGCGCGCGAGCGTGCTCGCGAGTGTTGCGAATTTTCGTCTTCGGTCGATTGACTGAAGATACACGTGAAAGATCTCTTCGTGTCTTCCACTCGGGGTCTGTCACTTAACAACGTGACGCGTCGAGGAATCTGTCAGTTTTGATTTTGATGACGTGTAATTTTACATCTCTCGATTCACCGTAAGAAATAGTTTATTTTAAATTGTTGTTGTTCAGATCAGAGACAAGATCAACACACATTTGAATAAATAAGACGTTTTTTTTTCTCTCTCTCTCTCTCTTACGAGAGAGACGATATTCGCGCTTTGTTCATCGCAATCGTCGAACCGATTTCTTTCAGATGACACAAAAGTCGAGCAGAACTACGCCAATCAGAACGGCACTTTGAAGAGCTGCCCGAGCGAACAACAAAGCGACATTAAGAAAGGTAAGAGGCCTGTTATCGATAAAAAGGAGAGAATATACATATATATAAAACTTGGAATGGAATGCTGGACTAGATCACGCTTGGTTTGCATGGATCGCTGAAACATATATACATACATATTTGAGATATTGTTTCTCTTTTCTTTTCTTCATCAAGCATCTTGCGATTATCTGAGTCGATCTCCCTGAAAGCCTGTCGGATTTTTTTTTTTTTTTCACTGAGAAACAACTAAAATATATGTAGGTTAAGAACCGTACAATATGTATTGAACGGAAAGTGATCCACGTTTTCGGGAATTTTGGAAGAACATTTATATATTTTGCAAGAGAAATTTTTAAATGCACAAAGCAAATCGTTAAAAGAATAAAAAAGGATTTTAATTGAAGAGCGTTCTTTTTCGAGAATTTTAAAAATTTATTCCAACAATATATTTGTGAGTGAATAAATATCATTAATACACAATACTGATATCAATTTATAAAAAATGAAAAAGATCAGATTTTTTATCTAAATACTTTTTAATTTATTTTTGTTAGAAATTGTTATTTGATGTATTGGAGAGAAAAAGAAAGAGAGAGAGATGTTTTATAGATATATATTATCGAGTCGAGAAATCAATTATTTTTCACGTGTAAAAAAATTGGAATTCGTGGGAAAGATCGAAGCTAAATAATTTTCTGTGAAATGCAGTTTCTCGCGGTGTAACACCTTTTTCGTAATATACTTTCGAAAAACTTTTTAAATCCCGCTGCTTCTCTCCCAAAGGAACCTAAAGAAATCGTAACGAGTCGTCGTCGTTTAAACGCAAAAATATAAGGACGCGTCAAACGCGCGCGGGGAAAATCCCGAGCGAAGAAACGCGTAGCAAATATTTAGGTAGATATACACGACGGGGGAAAAACGTCGGCGTGTCCCCGCAAGCGGAGAAGCTCAAAGAAGTTACGTGTTGTAAAAAAACGAACCCCGCGACATATTTCCGAAGAAGATAATCCTGCGAGAGAAGATATAAAGAAAAGAACAAAAAGGGAAGAAGAAAAAGCGCACTTTCCGAAAAAAGTTTTTCCACGAAAAGCACACGATTTTCCACGATCGTCGTAGGAGATCGTCGCGTTCTTCTCCCGGATTACGATTACGCGACCGACGCGGAGGACTGCCGCGCGGTCAGGATGCCGCAGGGAAACGCTCGCAATCGGGGCCGCAGAAATCGACACCGACGGCATCGACCTCCTCCTCCTCCTCGACCGGCAAACGTTGCAACGGAATCGTCGCGAAGCAGCGAGCAGAGAAAATCCAAAGAGGAAGAAATTCCAGCCAGCTCGAGAAACGAGCGCGGCAACGACGATCACGACGATGACGACGACGACGACGACGACGATCACGACAAATCGACGAAGACGAACGACTCCGTTCCGGAAAATTCTCCTTCGATGAACGCTGACTCGATCGAGAACGACGATCGCGAGAGATCGCCGAATCTCAGATGCAAAATCCGATCGGATGACAGACACAGGATCGAGAAGATCGAACTGGAGGAACGTCCGCCGAGGATAATCGAAATCACGACCGTCAGCAGTTTGCCGCTCGAGGCGACGATCGGCCATATAGCCGGAGTAGGCATCCTGGAGACGGGAAGTGGCAACAGAACGACGGAGTCGACGATAGTGACGATATCAGAACCAATGGATTTGATTGGGTCGACGCTTTTCGATCACACCGAGGCCAAGAGGCTCTCACGGAAGACTAAGGAGAAGGATCGATTGGAGATTCGTGAGGTTAACGACAGCGATGTCGAGGTCGATTGCGCGCCAACGACGATCGTCGAATTCGAGTCCGAGGGAGAATCCACGGAAAAGGAATTGCTCGAGGGACAGGATTTCGAGGATTGCGAAGATTCGTCCGAGTCGGCGGATCGAATCGGTCAGCAAAAGAAACTCGCGTCCAAGTCGGAAACGGAATGCCCGAGCTCGATGTGGGCCACGGTGATGCCAAAGGAAGTCGAGAGGAAACTGCGAAACTTCATCGAGGGTCTTCAACTGCCGACCTTTTCCGAGGAAGCGCTCGTCGAAGACGAAGGTAGATCTCTCGAAAAAGTTACTCGAGACGACGACGACGCCGCGACGGAGGAAAATAAATCCTCTGTTGAGAAAGCGATGGAAAAGGGCGGCTCGTCGCGTCGGAAAATGAAGAAACGATCGATATCGGCGTCGCATTACGCCAGTAATTTTCTGGAAATCATACAAGAGGAAGGCGAGAGGCTGTCGGAAGACGAGGCGCAGCACATAAGAGACTTCATCAACGAGGAGATCTGCAAGTATCGACGCGACGACAAACAACAACAGTCCGCGGAGAGGACGACGGACGGGGATGCGAAAACGGAAGATCCCGAGAAGTTGCGGGGAAAAGATGTTGCGATTAAGACGAAAACCGACGACGTTTCGAAATTACGTTCGCGCGACGACGAAACGGATAGTTGCGACGAGGAGCTTAAGAATCTCGACGCTGCCGAGAACATCGCGAGTTCTGAAACGCAGGCGGCAAAGGAGCGCGCGACCGAAACGACAACTGTAAAATCCGATATTTCATCCAGCGAGTCCGAACAGATTGCGGCGAATTTATCGCGAGATAATTTAAAAGCCGAAAATAAATTTAATATCACCGAAGAGATAAAAATAGTCGAGACCGACACCGCGAGAGAAGAAAATCTGTTGAATAACGTTGAAGCGCGAGCGGTGAGCGACGCGAGCGATATAACCGGAGCAGAAAACGATGATAAACAATCGTCTGAAATTGAAGCATTTAATCAATCGGAGAAATGTTCCCGGGAACATCGCGTCGAAACGAAAACAATTGACAATCACAGTTCGCGCGAAGACGATTTGTTTGAAAACGAGACAATGTTATCGAGAACGAAGCAGCCTCCGCCGCCTCCGAGAAGATCGTCCAGCTTCGAGCTGCGAAGATCGTCGACGCCACCTGAAATAGATCGTGTCACGCCGACCGGCGTGAACATCTGTCAGACGTTGGTTGCGACGAGCGACGACGACGACGAGCGCAAATCCGGGTCGACGAATTTACTCGCGCGGAATCGCGCGAGTTTGGAGAACGAACGACCGCCGCAACGACCGAAACTTCCTGATGAACTCGACGACTCGTTTATCTCGTCGAGCGTCAATCGGAAGATGATGCGTGAAAAACGGAGCTCGTCGAACTCGCGCGATTCTCCCACGACCGTTGTTCAAGCTGACGATGAAATTCATGTCTGCGTAAATCAGGTCGAACAGGCGGCGGAGGAGGACGGTACTTCGAGAAGCGGGAAGGCCACCGAGGGTCCGCGATTGATCGCGTCATCGGGTATTCGCGACGATGATCCGTCACGCGACGTCGGAACGCGCGGCGTCGCGCTGGCAAGCGCGACCAGCAGCACGGAAATAACGCGTCGCGTCGAGGAAGGGAAGTGTCCCGCGACTCGCGGTGCACCGACGACGGCGTATGATCGAAACGCATCGCCGAGTCGGCAGGAGGGTGAAGTTGAAGTGCGCAGGTGTTCTCCGGATCGGATAAAAGATTCGGGAGAAAAAATCGAGTCGCGGGAAAACGACAAATCGAATATTCGTTCGAGTAACTCGGCAAAAGATAAATCAACGATGGGTACTTCGGGCACCAAGAGCAAGAGAAGACCCGGAGACGGGGAAAACAATGAAAAATCGACGTCTAGCTTTCGTCGCGAGCGAACGGTGAAGAGCGAGACGTCGTCGGAAACGACGATAATCGAGGAGAGGAGCTCGAGCGCTGACCAGCGAGGAAAGAGTGAATTTTGCAATTCCAAGTATTCGACGTGGGAGTCGAAGCGCGAGGAGAGGTATGAGGAGGAGAAGCGTGAGGAGGAAGAAGAAACGCGCAGCGTTGTTTCGTCCCGGCAGAGCGACGCGAGAAGTTCGTCGATCGACGATCTTTCGGATCGAGTCTGTCGGACAGCGTCGTCGGAGATTGTTCCGGCCGACGACGATATCGCGCCTGACGGCGACGCTCAGGGACACGAGTCGTCCAGCAGCACCACGTCCTTGAGCACGGTGAAGCATCGCCCGCTGGAGACGTCTCTAACCGACATCAGCGCGATCGTTCAGGACACGAAGGAAGATAATCCGCAAGAGGAGGAAGAATCATTGAAGCGGAAACTCACGTTGCTGAAGAACGCGGGAGAATTCGCTCACGAAGAGACGACGAGAGACAACAACGTGGAATCGCCGCAACCGGTTCCCTACTCGCCGGTGGAGGAACTTCGCTACGTGTCGCTGAAGAACGATGCTGAAGAGATCCGCGAGAAAAATACGAAAGACGGAAAAATATCGGACCAAGTGTTGCAACAACCGTATTTACTGCGTGAGATCTGTCTGAAGAAGATCCTGTCGCTTCCGTACGGGACGCAGGTGATCAGTGAGATTACCGCGCCGAAGTTGAGCATCTTCGAGAGCCTGCGGACTCTTCAGAGATTTGTGAGTAACGAGCGGACGAGCGCGCGCGAGCAGCGCGATAACGTCCGATTTAAAACGCTGCATGGAGTGAATGATCAACAGCACGGACTAACGAAAACGGGCCTGTATGAGTCGCCGTGTCGTCCTAACGAGATTCCGCACGCTGTTTCAGACCGGGCTAAGTTGCCGGGGAGCGTTAATATTGAGTTGTCAGAATCGGAGAATAACGAGATGGAGGAACGCTGGCGGGCACTCTCAACGGAGGATCCGCGTGTTCTGGTTTGTCTGTCGCCGTCGCAGCAGGCCACGCAGGTGCGCACGAGCGCGGACACCTTGTTGGATCTTCATTGCAAGTTTCTGAATCGGTACAGTTACCGCAACGAGCACCCGCAGCGGGTTCCTCTGCCGCAATATCGGGTGCATATTCATGCACCAAGCAACGCGAAAGAGGATAATGACAACGCGGCCTCGAGAACACCCAGACCACCCGCTCGTGCGCCTCATCATCACGATACCGAGAAATCCAGACTATTTGAGATCATCAAGGAGGAACGGAAGCATCCTCGAAACGAGACCGTTGCTGATAATCGCCGAACAACCACCGACGACACTTGGAACGTCTCTATCGGAGATCAAGAACGTCTCAAGGCCGTTCGCACGAACGACTGGCTGAACCATGCCAGACGCGATCGCAGAAGCGCCACCGCGAACGAGTTATTCCTGGCTGCGGCGAGGGGCGAGGACGGCGAGCCGAGCGATGATAAGACGGCCGATCACGTGGCTCGGCCCGATCAGCTTAGGATTACAACACGGTCCATGCCGAACGATGATGCAGTTCACGATTCGGATAGGCCGTCCGCGAGTCACGTGAAGAGTTCGTTCGCGTTGAACAGCGCCATTATCGATCGCTCGATGGACACGACGACCGCGAAGAGAACGTCGCCGTCTCTGCGAAGAACAACCGATCCCAGCAAACACGTGAATCCGGCGTTGATAGACGACAAGCTTGAGGTGCCGCCGCTGCCGAAACGCACGGTCACGGTTGACAGATCGTGCATCGACACGACGAGCATATTCGATCAGAATCCACCGAGAAGCCACTTGGAACCACGAAGAGCCACCCACGATACCACGGCGGAGAAGCTGAAGCACGTGGCCGCCGTGGAGATCATGGACAAGCTGAAGAAGTTGCAGACGGAAACTTCACGGCGATTGGACGGCGGCGACAGAAGAGGTTCCTTGCCGCAGGAGTACTTCGTCCAGCAGCTAAATTACATCGAGTTGTTGGAGGAGCAGCTGAAGAACGTGATACTGGCGGAGGAGGAGGAGAGAAAGGCCTTCGAGGAATACCAGACGCATTTTCGTCGAACGAAACAGAGCGACGACGCGAAGAAATTCTCTCTCACTGACATTCGCGAAGAAACTTGGAACGAAACCAATCCGAATTTCGAACGGGAACGCAAAATTCCAATCGATATCCTCGACGAAGAGTCGCCGAAATTAAAACGTGCGGAGAATAAGGAAGAAAAACGTCGAAGTAATCTCGAAGAAGAAGAAGAAAATCATTCGAAGAAAACTCGTCGAAACGAACCGGAAATTCAAAAGGAATTCTGGCAGGAAAAATCGCGAAACGTCGAGAAAGATCGCACGGAGACGATCGACAAAACGGGCAGTCGGCAGTTCCTGAAGAAGGTCTATTGCGAAAACGGAATTCGCGAAGAATCGTCGGAAAGTGTCGAGCACGAGGAATGCTACAGGCTGGTCGCTCGGACAGGTGGTAACGCGGAAAACGACGGAACGTCCGAGTTGCGTAAGAACGAAGCGAATGATGATGAACATCGCGCGGAATCGGAAGAGCTGAAGAACGACGACGAGAAGACGTCGAAACAGACGTCAACAAACCTGCGCAGTAGTAACGTCGTCGAAGCGAAGAGACCGACTACGTTGCCGACGAACGGGGAGGCGTTTCGCCAACGTATGTACGACGAATACGTGCACAAGGTGTTGGAACGGCAAGAGCGGAAGAACCACAAGATCGTAAAGATCAGTTCGCGGGAGGACATCAAGAACGGTGGCGGCAAGAAGTCGTCCGGTGGCGAGAACATGAGCGAGATGGCGAAGGAGTTTATCGAGAAGGCGCGCAGCCGGCTGAGCAAGTTCGGCATCAATCTCGACGAGAGCGGGACGGAGCTTGAAGAGGACGAGAACGACGTGATCAACGCCAAGTTCCTGATCGACGGCAAGGAGCTGCGGGACACGCGGAAGTTGCCGAAGCATCTGCGGGAATTTCTGAAGATCTCAACGATGAACGACGACGGTGAGGGCGGTGAGTTACACGTCGAGTGGAATGGAATGTGACCATATGATGGATTTGCTGTGTTGGATGGATTTTGCTCGTCGCGTGTTGCGAGATTATATTGGTGGCAATTGCTGGCTGATGATGTTGAGAGTGGTTCCGGTTGGACGGGACCGTACCCATCCCGAACGAGAGGAGAAGTGTTCTTTTTTTTTTTTTTTTTTTTTTTTTTAACTACCACTAACGCGCGCCCGCGTCCTGCTCGAGACGTTCGTAGATGCCTTGGTGTTTGTCGTCACTAACGAGATGATGTTGATAGTATATTATGCTAATTCTCTATTTATCTATCCACCTGGCGCCAACAACGTGAAAAGACCGAAGGAAGACGAAGAAAGGAATGAATATTTAATTTTTATTTAATGCTTTCTTTCTTTCTCTCTCTCTCTCTCTCTCTTCTCTCTTTCTCTCTTTCTCTAGTTTACAAGATATTTTCCGCCTAAGCGCTCGCTCTTGCGGCGAAACAAGAATTTAAACAGTTTGAGAGTGGCTAATAATAATACATCAAGATAACCGGAATTTATCATATTTTCGTTGCTAATTGAAATATCGAAATTTTTCGAACATCGCAAATTCCAGCCTTCCGGGTATAATAAAAGCGTAACTGCGTAACTTTGTATAATATTGCCATTCTCTAATTAAAATAGCTGAGATTTATCGAGGAATTCTCTCCTCGTCTTTGATCCGCGCCGTTTTTTTCTTTTTTTTTTCTTTTTCATTCGAATCGCTCGGCTTATATCATCGGTAGACGAACTTCCTCAATAAAGGAGACAAGCGCGCAGCAACGGAAATCTCATTACTGTCGTAAGTACGTTTTCCTAGACAACTCTCCGAGAGAAGGCGGAATTAGTTCACGACGAGATAAAGTGGAAAGCTCGTCGGCGCGGGGCAACGCGAGAGTCTGTTCACGTTGGCGCGGCCCGTACAGCATCATAATTGCGCGGTCCCCTCAGATTGCTCCAATTCCGTAATCCGATTAATAACTCGTCTCCCAAACGATGATCGATTCTCGTGTGTAAATAAATAAATTTGCATCGTGTGTGTCCCGCGAGAGTTAACGTGACGTTAATAAATACGTATTTATACGGCCATTTTTCATTATCCAACCCGTTCGTACGCGTCGCCGCCACGCTAAAGAGAGACAGAGAGAGAGAGAGCGAGAGGAAGAAAGATTTAATATTCTCTGACATAAATCCGAACACAATCGACACGCGCGCGATACATTTTGGCATTTATTTCCGAGACGATCGATTCGTCAAAGCGACGCGATGGAAAATTATCGTATTAACATTCGAGCTACGGAGATGTACGTAGTTTGACAGCGCGGGGATAATGAACCGCGACAATTTGCGATAACGAATATCAACACAGGCTCAGAGGCTATCAAATTACGTCATGCAAACGCTCGTATTTTCGGTTCCCTCTTGCGCTGATTAACCGCGTAATATTTAACCTTGTACGTAAATCCATTCAGATAATGTTTCTTTAATATTTAAAATATATATCTCTCAATTATAATGCATTAGTTTTTTTTTTGAATTTTTCTCTCTCTCTCTCTCTCTTTTTCTTTTTCAAGATACAAGAATCTAAACAAAATTTTTCAAACGTCTATAATACAATTTGCTGTGATCAAGTTAATGTCACACATCTCCGTACGGATTTATTATAGTTTTCTTCTTTATTCCGCAATCGTTCCGATCCACACGTCGTCCGACGTGTGATTCATTGGAGGATGAAAATCTAAATATAAGCCTCGGCGCGCGCGAAAGACGAGAAATAGGCCACTCGCTCGTAAGACGCCATTGCTACTAGCGCGCGCCGGAACCACCGTCGTGTTTTCGGCTATTTTCAATTCACTTGCGCGATGTGGCCTACTGACTCGTTCTCTCTTTCTCTCTCTTTCTTTTTCTCTTTCTCCGAAATTTCTGCTCTCTCTCTCTCTCTCTCTCTCATCTGTTCAAATTATCGCTTACATATATGTATATTAATAATTTGAGATCTGATGAGAGATCCAGATTAAATCGACAAGATTTTATACCGTCGTCGCCTTGAAGAACTTTAAACATTATTTTTTTTGAAGAAATTTATATCAGGTATAATGATCTTCTCTTCTGATTTCAGAAAAAAACAAAATCAATCGTCTTTACATCTCATTTCACAAAATGGCTTTGCGTCATCACATGATTTATCGCACGCTTGCTTCCGCAATGTTTCAATTCGTTTGTTTTTTTCTTCTTCCCTCTGTGTGATAAATATATATAAATAATGCACTCTTGCACAGTTTTATATATAAATATGTTATATAAAATAAAAACGTATATATGATGTGCATATGTGTTGTGTCCAAGTTTGACGCGGTAAATGTGCAACGACGAGACTAAAGATAAATTCGAGACGAAATGGTCGCAGATATGAACAATCGATGTGACGAAAGCCATCTATTCGTGTTACGTTGTTAACTGGTTTATTGACATATTATTCGCGCGAACGACTCGCTTACTTATTATTATTATTATTTATTAATATCGTTGTCATATTATTATTATTACTCTTGTTGGTTGTTATTTCTCGGAAAATGTTTACGTGTGTGCAAGTTTTTAAATAAAATTTAAAAGTTTATCGTACCAACTCGTATATAATTTAACTTCTGCAAATGCTCATGTCAGGCGGCGCCGTTTCATGTTTTTGGCATCTGCGCGACGTCTCGTGACTTGTTGCCATCTACGGTAATGTCATCTGTATCGGAAAGCGTTACGAACTTTCCGAACAACCCGATATTAACTTGAACCAGTTATTTGTATATTTCGCAAAGTCTCGTGAACCTTTCGGTTACCGAAGCGTCCGTTTATTTTCTATTCTAACTTTAGCCACGAAACGTTTAGCCACTGCGCGCGCGCGTTTTCTCAGTCGGTTCTAAATGTGCGAATTTCGGGACCCGTTTACGCGTGAACCCCGGTTGTTTTGTGTTACTATTATTATTACAATGACTCTCCGAGTCATGAATGTATTTTTTTCAATGAATTTCCCCCCCCCCCAAATAAACGACGCGCGAAAGTGCAACCGAACATCGCACCGCGAAACGTCATATCGCTGTCCGTTCCTATCTAACAGCTTGCGATCTTCTAACAAACTTCCACGATGCGTTGTGCTACAAACACACTATTGCTGTTGCATCGTTTTTTTCTTTTTTTTTTCCCCCGATGAATAGCGGGAAATGCTTTTTTAATCGAAGGGAGTAGCTGCGATAACGTTGCGAGGGGGCGAGACAATGACAACGGCGGTCTGCTGCTGCGCGAGATTGACAATGCTTTGAGAATCGGCAAGGGATTTCTACTTGGGCAAGGTGCGTTTGCAAATATTTCGCCTTGATCGACCGACCGCATGCACGTATCATAGTTTTTTTTTTTTTTTTAACGAACGCAACATGTGTTTATTTGCCGTAACGGAATAACATGTGAGAAAATGAGACGAGTTCAAAAATGAGTCACAGCTATATTTAAGTTTTGACGTCGTTTATTTTTATCAGTTGTATCCGTAATTTTATCTATGACAGTCGACAGAGTTGGGAAAAGGTCTCGCGTAGATGCTATCATCTCCATTCTCGAAATGTAGATATTTGTATATGCAACTTGTGTGTGGTTTGGCGTTGGTGAACCGCACTCTTGCGTATCGGTGGTGAGCGCTGCGCGACGCGACGCGGCGCGGCGCGGCGTAGCGTCGAGCCTCATCGGCGTCGCGACGCCCCAGTCGGCTGGCATCTACCAGTGCTACTTTCACGTGCGAGTGGGTATCGCGTTCGAGATACGCGCGGTGTCGCGTGAGTCGAATTGTTGAAATCTCGCCGAAATCATAGAGTCAACGATGCTGGAGAAAAGTGAGTGATTTCCGTCCCGGAAACGTTGAATTAGCAACAAGAGAACCGAGTCGCAACAGACAACGTTTGTCGATTTTTCTTCAACAGGTAGTTTCGCGATCGCGAGAGAAGAACGGAAGAGAAAGAGAATATCTTTGCATACATATATAATCGAAGAAAATCGTTTTTTAATTACGTTATAAATTTTGATGAAGATAAATTTAACAAAGAGAGAAGTAGAAAATATCTCTAAATGAGAGAATGAAAATCTCCGACGTGACAACAAGTTCTCTCTTTTTTATATCACTGTAAAATATCACGAATATATTTTAGTTCTCGGCAAATTACACGATCTCTCTATTTTCGGAATACGTCACACGATGATGATTTGCTATTCTTAATACGATGAGAAATAAGGCAATTCACTTTGCTCCGTTCTTCTTCTTACGCGCCTTCCCTCCCGTTGGAAGTTCATCAAGAAATCGCTCTTGTATTAATGAATCGCGACGGTTTCAACGTGGAGGTAACTCTGAACAAACTTCCGAGATGATGATCTCGGACGTGGTCCGTGTAATAGCGACGTTAACATCGGAGTCGCGATAGACATCAAGATATTCCGCATTGATGGTTCAACTTTTCGACGGGTTCAGATATATTTCAAAGACTTTTTTTTCTTCCCCTTCAAAGAGATACAGAAAATTATAATATATGCCGATACAGGGAAACATAGATAAAAAAAAAAAAAAAAACACACAATACATTTGAGAAACATCGCCGGAAGATGCGAACGGCGGAGATTCAGAGACGTTGTTTGACAAAGTGTTGTTTGATGCTTTCAGAGAACGTTATGTTCGCCCCTACGTTTAAAGCCTCGTCAGCGAAACCAGGTAAACCTGCGCGAGAAATGTGTGAGACTAACACCGACTACTGTTGTACACACACACACACACACATACACACATTTTCCACAGAGCTGAAGACGTTATTTAATTTATGGTTTTTTAGTTTTCAGTATTTTGTTACGAGAAATATCACGGTTCGTTAAATTTTTCAATAAAAAAGTGTCCAGATTAACTTTTTGATTGAGTATTGAGTTCAAAACTGTCTTTTAAATTGTACGAACGATGGGATAAGAAAAAAAAATATGGCTTTGCTATTGGAAATACGCGCTCTCATTACGTTAACGTATCGTTATGATAGCGCAATAAAATTAATTACGTGTAGGGTGTAACCGCATTGTGTGAGGCCACGTGTGTCCTTAACGGCGGGATCGTAATTAAGTTCCTGTTCCGCTGCGTGTGGCGTATATACGCGCGCGCGTGTGTGTGTGTGTGTATGCACGCGCTCTATCTCGTGCATGTTCCTCGAGTAACACGTGTAATCTCGTTCTGTAATTTGTCCAGGTAAGACAGGAAGGCACGCATTAATTTCAGTTATTCGTCACATTCTCGCGAAATGTTGGTCTTTTGGTTAATTATCGTCTTGCCGCGATTGTTGTTTGTTGTAAATAACGCGTCTCGCGTGATCTCTAAAAACGACGGCAATTTGATGTTTTTGACACTTCGGCCAGCTGGCGTTGCAACATTGATTAATCGCACTTAAGCGAGACGCACGGTTGCAATTAACGAGAACGTATAGCGATGCTATATACGTCGCACGCCGATATCATAAATTAACAACAATGTACGTCAATTATTTTTATTAGTTAGTTTCATTATTAGCCGCAATATATTTCTCGAAAAAATAGTCGCGGAACCGTGCAGACGTTCTTTTTTTTTTTTTGCACGAGGAAGCAACTTGATTTCTAATTATCTCACTTCTTCTGTGATTTTACCGTAGAATTCTCCTGATATCAGTGCGATTCGCGCGTAGCATTCGCGAACGACCGACGTGTCGTGCGCAGAGAGTCGCGGTCGTTTCAGAAAATCGTCACGAGGCATTGTGTCGGAGAGATTGCGTTCTCGGCCAATTGCAATTATGCGTATCTTATAATAAGCCCACGCCGCCCACGCGGTCTTCTAATTTTACTCGCGCGTCCCAAATGAATCTCCCTCCTGATTTCCTGTGTCGCGCGCGCACGCGAGAGAGAGAGAGAGAGAGAGAGAGAGAGAGAGAGAGAGACTCTGCAAATCGGTCGTCAGGTTCGATCGATCGAGCATATGCGTCTGACTCATCATCGCGGTGATGGTGTATCTTTATCGAGATAATGTCACGTCGCCATCTGACAACTCGATGACAGCGAAGTCACCCGTCAATAACTCCGCTGATGGTCGGCATTGTACGTTGCATCACTTGTGTAATTCATTCTTCTTTGAAATGCAATAACAAGTCATCGACAATTTTTCTTGGCTGTTAAATAAAAAACGCTTGTTAAACAAAAACGTCGATTAAATAAAAAAACACGCGGATGTTTTTGTTTAATACGAAGATTGACGTACGTGAAATATATCGTCGTTTGTTTTTTTTTTTTGTTTAATCTTGCAAAAGATTAAACACACGCGATGTGCGAGACGCGCAACGTGAGATTTGCGATCTAAGATTTAATAGAAATCATCGTCTAAAGAGAAATCGATTCTTCAGCGATCGCCGGTTTGCTAATAGATATGTAGAGACGCACGCGGCAGCAAAATGCACGTAGCTTAGTCAGGAAAAAGATGATCCCTTATGTAATGCGGCCCACAGTGAGCCAAGATTAGCATCGCATGTATACATTTGACGTGTTAGCTTTAGCGTCAATCTACCAAATCCGCGTAGAGCATGCAGCCGGTTCAGGAGAGCAAAGACCTCTTGGCGAATCTCTCTCTGTCGACGATACCTATTTAGTACATGTGTATGTGTGTGTGTGTGTGTATCGGATATGATATTGACGTGTCTCTAACTTGTATATACGGAGTAGAAAAGAGCAATTAAAAAAAAAATCGATAAGCACAGGATTAATTTGTGCAACGGATCGGCCTGATCTTCGTTGGAGCAAAAAAGTGTTATCAAGTTTTTTGCTGGTAATTATGCGCTGGCTGAGAGTGAGAGTAAATTAACACAGTGGCCGCATTGTGTTGCCTCGGACGGCGATCTCTCAGAATGAAATGTTTTTTTTCGTCAGGCGTTTGGTCGCCAGGACAGACGCCGCCGGCGAAGGAGTCGCCTAATCCCGATCGAACCAAAGAGCCGCAGAAAAACGAGCCGATCCCGCCGGTTTGGACGCCCGCCAGCGCCGGCGCGAGCCCCGTTGCCGAGAAGAAGGAATTTCGTCCCGTGCCGTTCGAGAGTCCTGTGCTGAGTCGAAAGAAGCAGTCGAAGGAAGAGGTATATGACGATTAATTACGCCAAGATGGGGCGACTATTTATTTCGCGGCGCGCCGAAAGAAACGGCGGGGGACTCCGCAATTACTTACTCCGCAAGATAGTTTTGATATGCGGGGTGGGAAACGCTTCGGAACACACTTTGGATAATAAAAACTCGTTTCAATGAATATGAGGGGAGGGGGGGGGCAAAATTTAAATAATTCTTTTTCTTCGCGTGTGTCTTTTTCCGCATCGTGGACGACTCGACGTTTTCTTTGCTTTTCAAGAGTTCACGTGGCTCTATGTGAGTGCCAAATTTTCTGTTTAAAAGGAGACGCCTCCACCTTGGGAGAACGACAAAAGAGAGTGCTCGCGAAGCGTTTACGAGAGTAGCGCGCGAATCGTCAATTCGCACTCGGCGCCCTCGCAGGGGTTGAACACGCTCGCGTCCACACCGCGCCTGCCACGTGCCCAGAATCCGACCATCACGTTGTTGCAAAAAGCGAGAGGTTGGTGCTTTTTTAATTCCACAAATCTCTGTCTTCGTCGAAGAAAACGAGAACACGTGTTTTTTTTTTTTTTTTTTGGTTAGAATTTCATCTCTATTTTAGTTTTTCTTACCGCGATGTTGCATTACAGAAGGGCAGTTGCCGAAAGGTGCGGCTTACTTGGAGGAAAACGAACCCGTTGACAATCGTCCCTCGAGCGACGAGAGACCGTTAATTTCCCCGGGAGAAATAAGTGAGTACACACCGATTATGACAACCATAAATTTAGTCGTAATTAAATCGTGTAATTGAAACAATATTATTATTGAAAATTGTTTACACGATAAATACCCGCCCAATTTACATGTTGTTTACTACTTTTCGAAAACCGCGCGTTCATTAACATACACTTGTTATGACTTATAAACTGCAATAACAATAGTGTCGGTAATGTACACTATGCCCTCTCGATTGTGTGATATCTAATTTCCGATTCACGCGAGTGCTAATGATTTGTTTGTGAAATTAAATCGTTCAGTCTACGCTGTGAAGAAAGAATATGAGAGCGAGCCGGAAATGGAGAACGAACCGCCGAAGAAGATGGCCGATCTGGGTCCTCGAAAATTCGAGGGTATCGGCCCGGTGACCAGGGAGGGTATTCCTCTTGTGTTGAGATCGGTAGGTTTGCGAGGAATCGGTAGCTAAGTAGATCTGAGAAATCACATTCTCCCTTTTACGCGTATTAATTATTTTTGTAGCGATAAATAATTTTAATCATTGCTGTAAATGAGAGAGAGATTATTATATAATGCAACTTGTGCGACGCGATCTTTTCTCTCTCTCTCTCTCTCTCTCTCTCAGTGTATTTCTGATATAAATTACTTCCAGGAAGTCAAGGAAAGCAATCAAGCGAAATGGTACAAGAAAATGTACGACTCGTTGCACCGCGCGGACAGAAACGGTAAGTTTCTTCGTTGCAATTAAACAAACATTACTTAAATAACGATTTAACGTGAAAAGTAAAAAGAGATCCGCATCGTTTTATCACGCGCTCACCGCGTCGAGTCAGTAATTATTTTGCATACGTGAGAGATATGAGGGAGGAATTTGCAATATATATCTCCCGCGATTGAATGCGCGCGCCGCACCTATTTTTTATTTTCAATATACTCGACATTTACTCTCCACGCGTCGAACAATTCAATTAATTACGTAATTAACGCGTGTAATTCGACAATTTTGCTTCCAGATGACTACGTGACCATAAAATACAGACAGAGGAGAGGTGAATATGCAACTTCCGCGCATGACTACCGCGGTGAAAATTGCGAAACCGCTACTAATATTAACGCCCGTGCGTGGGTCGGCTGCGTAACGCATAGTCGCGTAACTAAAGCCGTGTAAAATTTAATAACCTTAACTACACAACTAATATCTGTCAAGTAAAAAAGTGCTGCGAAAGAAAATATAAACATGGTAAAGCAAAATAGTAATTGTAGTAAAAAAAAAAAAAAAAAATGTAGGCGCTACAGAGAATGACGCGAGAGAAGGCTAAGAACTAGTTTTAAGAGTAAATTAGTCTTCGATACTTATACGTTGTGTCTTGACGCCGTTTGTGTGTAAAAAGCAAAACGCAAAATAACGATCTCGCTATTGTAGATACTTATTTACTACTACTAGTTAGTGTCAAGTGTGAAAAAACAATAAACAATTTGCAACGCAATTGTCGCTTTATGACCTCCTCCGTTCCCGCTAACAATTAACATTTGTTACCGTCTCTGACGATATTATATGTGTTTTCGTATTTGGATTAACATTTTGTGGTTGATCTCGAGAGATTAATCGTAGCCAATTAACTTTTTTGTGTTTTGATCTTTAAAAAAAAACAAACTCTCGAGGAAGAAGAAGAAGAAGAAGACGTCACGTCAATTTGAGAATCTCAGAAAAATGAGCTTTCTCTCTTTTATCAAATATATGTACTTTCCCAAGGTGCCAATTCTTCGTGGGAAGAACTTCTCGAGTTCTCGACGTTCGATCTGTCTCGTCTCGGTGACAAGTCGGACTTTTTCTAAAAAAAAATCAACTCGAGAGAAAATAAGAGAGGAAAATTTTATTTACTTTACAACAACTAAACAAGAAGGAACTTTAATTTATTGATTGGGATCACTTCTGATCTCGATTAAGATAATCAATCAGAGAGCTCGACAATTTATTCTCGAATAATGTAACGCGAGATGTATGATATCCTATGCGTGTAATGTATTTTCAGTGTAACATCGTAGAAACTTAACATCGTACACGTCGAACTGATTTGCACTGGTAATTTGAAAGTTTATTTGATTAGATTTTTTCTGATACTAAACGAGAGTGCGAAATGGAAAATTGAGTGGAAAAGTGTCACAAAAAAAAAAAAAAAAAAAAAAAAAAAATGAGAAACACTTTTTCTGTTTCAGGAGGGAGATACGGATACGGAAGCAGCAGCGGATATTTGAGCGAACCGGAACCACGCGTGTACTCGGATCGATCCGTGACTCTCGACAGCCGTCGACGGCTGCGCAACAAAGAAAATGACTTTACCACGGCGACCATGCCCAGAAAGTGAGCGAAAAATTTCGAAACTTTCCCGCTCTTGTTTTTTTTTTCCCCTCGGAAAGCGCGTTCGAGGAAACTTGTGATCTTTCGAAAATTCTCTTCTTCCCATTCTGATCCTCATTTTTTTCAATTAAACTTTCTCGCACACGACGGAAGAAATTTTTTCAGACGAATTAAACTGTCTCGGAGCGAAAATAGAAGCGAAACTCTCTCTCGACGAATAAAAAATAAGTGGCAATTGTTTTTTTTTTTTTTTTTT